TGAGCAATGGGAGGAGGGGAGTGGGTGTGCTGAGCACCAAAGCCTGACCAAAACCCCCATGGGAATGGAGATGGCAGAATTGGGCAAACACCCTCTAGGGCTGGGTTGGGATGGCTGTGCCAGAGTACAAAATACATTTCACCCTGAGCCCAGCCCAGCCTGCAGCGTGCTGCCCTCCAGGGGACCAGCATCCCTTTCCTCAGCCCCCCATCCTGCTCCCCAGCTCTCCTCAGTGCCTGGGAGCCTCTGCTCCTGGGGGAGAGCTCCACTCCTCCCTGAACACGGAGGGAGAAGCCCAGAGCTGGCATGAAGAGCCATGCAACAGTTAAGAGGGATATGATCAGCCCACATCCAGCCCTTCCTTCCAGCGTGGGGTGGAGAGGGAGGGGACATGGTCCAGCTGGCCGGGATGCCACTATCATCCTCCTCCTCCCTTGCTTCACTCGCTGCTTAATCACGACCGCTCCCCTGGTGCCCCGCAGCCCCCGTGCCCATCCTCAGCATTCCTTCTGCTGCCTCTCCCTACCAGCTGTGGGCAAGGAATGAGGGCACAAGGCACCCACCTGCCGGGACCAGCAGCCCGTGTCCCTACAGGCAGGCTGGGGTGCTGGGGACCGCAGGGGTTGCACGGGGACAGGCGTTCAGGAATGTTGTTTTTTCCATCCCGGTTTCCGTCAAGGTAGTAAATCAGCGCTGCAAAAGGCTTTTGTTTTCCCCAGCACGCTGCCGGCTGCTGTGGCTGCCAGCCCTGGCCTCGCCTGCAGGAGCCAGGACAGCCATCCCTGTCCACACTCCCAGGTCTTGCTCCTCCGGGAGTCGGCATCCCTTATCATGCCAAGGGAAGCAGTCACATCCATCCCACTTTCCTTTTGCCCCTTCCCTGAGCGCTGGACCTTGCCAAGGAAGGCTCCCTTCCCTCCATCCTGCACAGCCCAGCTGTGTCCCTCCTGTTGCTGCTCCCCTCTGGCTGTAAGCAACCTTGTTCTCCCGTGGAAGGATATTGGGGTGGCACAGGAGACACCAGACTGGCTCCAGCCATGCAGGGCTTGGGGGTTTAGCAGTGGGGTCCTTGTGCAAAGGACATCGCCCCACAAGCAGCTAGACTGTGCCTTCCCCCAGCACACAGCTCAGCGTCCTGGCCAGGTACCCAGGGAGCTGGGAGGGATATTGGATTGCAGCAGATGGGAGAGTGTCTGCGCACAGGGCAGCCAAATGCTGCTGGGTGACACCCGCGGTGTCTCCAGTATCAGCTGTGAGGGCAGTGCTCCCTTACAGAAACACAGGGATGTGGGACTGCCCTTGGGGGATGCAGCCACCCAGTCTCCTTGTCTGTGGTGCCTCTGAGGAAAAGGGCCACGGGAAGAAGGCGCCACGTGGAGAAGGAAGGTGCCCAGCTCTCCGGAGGGGGCATTCAGCTGCTGGCACAGGGGAGGTGTAAAGCTCCTCAGATGTATACATTGCGGCTGGGCTATTTTGGAAAGGGACCGGGCCGATCTTGTGACTGGAGCTGGGGACTGCAAGTCTGGGCAGCAGGGTCCTGCCTGAGTGACAGCGACCCGCTGCCTGACCCGGGGAAACCCGAGAGCCCTGCTGTGCTGGGGACAGCTTTCGCACCCCTTCCCAGCTTGTTTCATGGTGATGAAAACGCAGCGTGGGCCAGGGATGTGGCTGAGAACAACACAGGAAAGAGGGGACAGAGCCAAAGTTTGGGTGTGAATCTGCCCCCCCCCCACTTCTTGACACTCCCGTGGCTGGGACACTCCACGTGGCCACTGGGCCACCGTGGTCCCCAGGGCTGTCCTGGAGGTACTCCCCATTGTTTTACAGCTGTGCCACCTCCTGCCCGCGGGCTGTGTCTGGGACAGACCAGCCCAGGCACTGCAGACCCCCAGCCGGGTGCCGGGAGCAGATGGAGACGAAGGCTTTCTGCAGACCCTGTCTCCCCCGGGCTCAGCAGCCTGAATGCCAGCAACGCCTGCCAAAAATATTTGTGTGGGATGTGGAAAGTTAACTTTAGTTTTCCTTTTTCAATAGCGGGGCGGGGGGGGGGGGGGTGACAGGGTGTGAGAAAGGCAGGTGGGGGGGCTGTGCATCACTCGCCAGGGAGTGGGCAGGAAGAGAAGTTGAGCAAAAGGTCTCCTTGCTGCCAGATTTCAGTATTTTGTGAATTGAAGGATTTTTTTGTTGTTGCTGTTGTTATTATTCCCTCCCCAGCACCATTTTGAAGCTTCTCATAGGGACTTGTTGCCATCAGGAAGCATGAGGAGCCTCTCAGATGGGCACGGTGAGCAGCTGCTTCTTGGAATTGAGTTGGGCACTGGTGCCCAGTTTGGGCATCCTCTGGAGCTGCACCCCTGAAATGGTGCCTGAAATGACCCTCATTCCTCTTTGCAGCCTTTGTTTGCAGGTGGGGGGTATCTCAGCCTGGTTTTGTGGCTGTGGCTGGTGCTGCTCATTACTGCCAGGGCAGTGATGCACCTGAGGCATATATACACATCCTACCTGGCTTGTATTTCAACAGATGGGATCAGCCCAGCAGCTTTTGCTAGACACCCATGACACTCATAAATATTCCTCACCTGTGCTGGTGGTAGAGCCCAGGAGCTGTGTCCCAGAGGGAAGGAGCTGCTCTCCGTAGCTCTGCCACTGTTCCCCCACCTCCGTGCCGGGCCCAGACTGGCCCCCAGCGAGGCAGCAGATGCCTGACTCAGTATTTCAGTGCTGTGGGCGGCCCTGTCCCAGCAGTGTGTCCTCAGGGAACACCACTGCTCAGGTCTCAGCAAGGAAGGGTTTGCCTGGGGAACACCGGGGCGTGGGCGTCACTCCCAGGAGATGCCCATTTGTGGAAAGCACTCCCGAATGGAAGGGGGCGGCTCTGGAAGACAGTTTTCAGGGAGGTACCAGCCCCTGAAGCAAATCGTCAAGGCAGCTCTGGTGTAGGATGGACATGAGTTGTGCTGCCCCAGGAGCCTGCTCCCTGGGGATAGGGCGAGGGAATGGGAGTGGAGAGGTGCACTGAGAGGATCTCCGCCGACCCAGGCTGGGCTGGGGCTGTTTTTTGCAATGGTCTCTTTGTCCTCATTTAAGATAAGCCAGCTCCCTCCTTGCCATGTTTCTAAGGAAAGACGTGGGTGGTTTCCTGCAACTATTGATCCCCCAAATTACATAAAGAGGAGGGTGAAATTTCTTTTTCAGAGAGCATCGTCGACATTTTCTCCTCAGGTTCTCTTTGCAAATCTGTGCTGAATAATTGCAGCAGAGAGAGGCAGGAGGAAGGATCTCAAAAAGGGCAGAAGATTTCCTTTGGGCGTTCTCCAAAAAATGCAGCCTTGTGTTTGGGAAATGCCCGAGTGCCTGCTTTCTAATCTGCCTTCTTTTCCAAAATAACCTTGCTAAGAACAGGAAAAGTTTTGCAGAGAAGCTGCATGAGCCTCGAGGAAGCTGCAGGGTGTATTCCTGCCAGAGCTTAACCTGCGATGTTGACCTGGTGCTTTTTCTTATTTCACTGAAAAACCTCGCAATAACTCAGGGAGGGGTTTGGGATGAGCAGAAACCCCTCTTCCTCCTCAGCTGGCTGATAGGTTGGGAAATCCATCATGGTCCATGTGCCGTGGGTGCTGTGGATCTCCCAGGAGGCGCTTCCCCAGGACCAGCCTTGCTGTGAGCAGGGCTGGGTGATGCTGTGCAAGCGAAGGACTCACAGGAATTTCCGTACACTATAGCCCATATCCTGCCCTGGGAGTGATGACATCCCCCTCTCCCAGCTGATAACTTGTCTGTGTTGGTGCGTGGGCTCGTCATCCCAACAGGATTTGTGCTTGGCAGGAGGGAAGTGGGTCTGTCTGCGCTTGTCCTGACGCTGCGTGAGTCACTCAATGGTTAAACACAGTTTAGCTGGATACTGGAAATCTTCCTTTTTTGTTCCTGGTAACTCTGAGCAACATCCTCAGGGATTCGATTCTTCGCTGAACACTCCCAGCTCCAGACCAGTGGTGCCACAGCCTCACCACTAGCAGGGGTGCCCGCAGCCTCATCTGGGCTGACAAAGCGAGGGGAGCAGGGCACAGGGCTCCGGCCACGGGTGCTGTCCCCAGGGTGAGGACGGACGGACGGACGGGGATGCTGGGGTGGTGAGCACAGTGTTGGGGTTGGGGCATTTCCAAATGGGCTTTTCATCTCAGGGGGTCCTCCCTCATGGGAAGCAGTGCTGGAGCTGGAGTTCAGGCTGGGGTTGCCAGGAGCTGCTCTGATGTCTGTGGCCATAGGAAATCAGTGCAAGCACAAGCATCCTCAACACTCTTCCTTCCCTTTACACAGGTCTTTGGATGCTGGTCCTCTGCCTGGAAAAGAGCAATTCCTGCAAAATCCTTCTTGCTGGCCTGCCTCCCGTGGACACGTCCCTTCATCTGGTTCTCCAAAACCTGCCTGCTCCAGCGGCATCGTGCCTGGTCTTCCTGCCTGCAAGAGTTGTAAAGCTGAGCTTGTGCCTGGCACGTGGCTGCCCTCCCTCCCGTGGCTGCCCCTGCTCTGAGGGAGGATCCATCCCCCTGGCTATATGGAGCTGTTTGGAAAGGCTGTGGAGTGCCAGTGAAGGAAAACAGTGAAGAAAGATGCTGAGGACAAGGCTCCAGCAGTTCTGCCTCCACCCCCAGCCCAGTTGCCCCATGCCTGGCAGGGCTGAGCAGCCCCCCTGTGTCTGTGGGACAGCCAAGGGGGACACTGAGGGGGACAGAGGCTGTTGGGAGAGGGGGACCAGAGGGGGGCAGAGCTGCCATCAGCTCTGGGATGCGCCAGCCTCTGAGCCAGGAGAGCAGGAGGCACGGACGGGACTGCTGGGAGGGAAATCAAGTGGCAGCTGCCAGAGGGATCCCAGGGGGCTCAGTGGGGATGCACCACAACCCCCATTGAACAGCAGCAGCCTGGCCTCGGTGGAGGAGCCTGCAGCTGCCCCCAAGTGCCCTGGTTCTGCCCCAGATTTGCCCCTCACAGCAGACAGCCCCATGGGCAACCCCAGCCAGGAGTGGAAAGTGGTGAAGATCCAACGGGTCATCATCAACCCTGACTTTGAGCCAAGGAAAACAGGTAAGAAAAACCCCCTTTGGCCACTGTCCCCACTAGAAAGGCATTACTGTGCTCCTGGTGAGAACACCCAGCTCTTCCCAGGGCAGGACTTCCCCTGGGTTAGAGGTCCCAGGTTTCCAGCAGAGCTGCCGGGACTAATTTAGCTTGAGATGATCTCTCTGGCCTTAAAAATAAGGAGGAATCTGTGGCTTTTCTCGGGAGGGGGGTGGGAAGGCAGCAGGCGGGTTCCCACTGTCTCCAGGAACTCAACCCATCCCTTAGTGGGGCATGAACAGAATGGATTTTCCAGCCCTCACCTGGCCATGGGGCCTGGTGGGATCCTGCCCAAGAGTGATCAGGACCAGCTCCTGTGGCAGTGTCTGGGACAGGGACACCTCTCCTCCACTGATTGATGTCCAAGCATCTCTCACATGGCTTTGAGCCATTTTTGTCAATCCCTGGTTTAAAACCTAAGCGCTTTATTTCAGGCTGATTGGTTCCTACAGTGCTCATCACCTCACTTCACAGCCCTGTGCCACAGCTATTCCTCTCCACCCATGACTGTCCCTTCAGCCATAGTGACACAAATACAGGTTCATATCTAGGGTTACTGGGGCTGCTGCCATGCCTGGACTGCCCCACCTTCCTGTGGGAGATGCTCCCACAGAACCTATCCTCTTACAGGTATTGGACCCATTTTTAAACCCCACTTCCACTCTCCTTTCTATTTTGCTCCTGCCCAGCTATTAGCTGCCCCACAGTGACAAGGCAAATGTGTCCCTGTCCCCACGGGATGGTGTTATCTGATGCTGCTGCTCAGCTCAGAGCCTGGTTTTCCCAAGGCAGCCCCCAGGACTGGGTGGGATGGGGTGGGACTGACTGGGATGCTTGACATGGACCCGGTGTCCAGAATCCACTCCCTGCCTTTTTGCAGTGTCAGGCATCCTCAAAACCAGCGGCTCCTGGATGGGACACAGGCTGGGAAGCTCAGCCAAGCCCTTTGGCTCACAGCTGCCCCAGCAGCATCATGTTTCAGGGCTCAGCATATAAACCAGATGGACCCAAATAGTCTTCCCATTTCTCACTGCTCTGGGATGGCAGATCTGTGGAGAGGAAAGGTCATGCCTGACTCTGTCCAGGCTTAGCATTTTCCTAATCTGCGCCACCATCCAGCACTTTTGCTGCCAGCCTGGAATTTTAAAGTAACTCAACAGGTTTGTTGGAAAGAGTTTGTCTGTCCCGTTTCCTCCCCCTCCAAGTGAGATCACCACCAGCCACTGCCTGCAGGACCCGTCAGACTTTCCAGAGCCTCTAGGCAGGATGTCACTGAGGGTCCTGAGAGCTGGGAGCAGCTCTGGACCTTGCAAAAAGCCTGCAGGTTTGGGAAAGAGAGGTTTGGTTCAGGTGAGAGGAAAGGGCAGGTGCCCTCACAAGTGGCACTAGGGCTGTTCCTGCAGCAGGCTGTTTGCAGGAGCATCCCTGGGAGATGTCAGGGATTTGCTCCCCTTCTCTTTAGCTGTCTAGGGTTACAGGAACCCCCACCTCTTCCAGCTTCTTCAGGAGGAGAGGGTGCCTCCATCCACACCCAGAGTGGTGCAGAGCCAGGGGCCAAATGGGTGCCCCACCTTGAGCTGTGCGGACCCACCCAGGCGGGTCCCAGGTGCCCCTTTGGTCCCCATCCAGCAGCCCAAGGCCAGGCTGGCTGCTCTCAAATATCCGGCACGGCGGCCCGGGCTGGTTGGCACCTCTCAGGGCAGGCTGGGGAGCGCAGGAGCCCGGGGTAGAGGCAGCGGCTGGGAGATGCAGGAGGCAGGACTGGTTTCTCTGTCTGGTGTGCAAATAAATGGAAGGTTTCGCTCCCTGGGGGCTGCAGAGCCAGCGCCAGGCTCCCTCAAAAAACAGGAAAGTACAAAAAAGCACACAGGGGCAGGAAGAAAGGAAATTAGAATGGCAAAAAAAATCAAGCCAAGAGCTCATCCTGAGATGTGGACAGGCATGGGAAGTCGGGTGAGGCTGGCCTCACCTGCAGTCAGGGAGCTCTGCAGCCCCAGCAGGGTAGTGGAGGTGGGAGGTGATGCTGGCTCCCCAGGGATCATCTTGCCCAGGACTGTGGTTCCCTTGTGACTGGGAGCAGACCACCCCTGGCAGAGGAGATTCAGTGCTGTTTCCAGGAGGCCCTCAGAGCAGTGACACCAGTGCTGGATTTTCGTCTCTGGATTTTGCCTCCCTCCAAGTGCCTCAAAACTTTAGGCACTGGGGAAACCTGTGGAAAGCGGAGGCCCCACACCCCCAGCAGCGTCTGAAACGTAAGGTGCTGCGGTGGGAAGGAGGGAGAAAGGGTGAAGGGCTGGGTAAGGGGATGTCCCGAGGTGGATAAGAGGATGCTCAGGACTGTTAAGGGGAACGTGCAAGGCTGGAAGAGAGGGATGCCCCAGAATGGGATAAGGGGATGACCCGGACTGGGAAGGGGATGTGGGGAGCTGGGTGAGGGGATGCCCCGGGCTGGGTAACGGGATGTCCAGGCTTCCACCGCCCCGCAGCAAGCTCAGGGTAGACCCAGCCAGGACAAGAAGCGGCGGAGCAGAAACATCGGGGGCAGCGGGGCGGCTGCCAGAGTAGCCGGGTGGGGGGGGGGACCCGTCCCGTCCGGTCTGTCGGTCTGTCGGGGCGGGCAGGGGCAGGGGCAGTGCCGGCGGGACCCGCCACCCCCCGGCCCCGGCCCCCGCCCGCCGCTCCCCTGGGCCCGCTCCGAGGGCGGAGCTGCCGCAACTTTCCTGCCCGCCGCCTCCTCCCCGGTGCAGTCGGGCTGCGCGGGGAGGCGGCACCGGCACCCGGCACCGCGGGTACGGTCGGGCTGGAGGGGTAGGGGGGGCAGGGACCAGGGGGCTCCGGGCGGGGGCCGGGGGGTGCCAGTGCAGGAGTGACGGGGCAAGGAGGTTGTGTGGGCACGTAGAAGGGCGTGCAGCGGGGGTGTTGAGGTCTGGGGGTGTTCGGGTGCCGGGGGATGGCAGTGCGCGGGGGTGCGCGGGGGTCCGGAGTGCACGGAGGGGGGGCCGGAGTGCATGCCCAGAAGTCCCGTGGGTGCGATGGTGGGCGAAGGGTGGGCGATAGAGCGCGCACAGCCGGGGCTGAGCGGGGTTCGTCTCCAGGAATGAGCGGGGCAGGTGCCGGTTCCCTCTGCCGGCACCCGGGTGTTGGATGTGGGGCGCGGGAGGCTGCGAAGACACACGGCGGGGACGTGAAGGGACGGGGGGTCCTTCTCGGGCTCGCAGGGTCGCACCTCTCAGCTCCGCAGAACGTCGTCCCTGCGTCAGGGACGTGACCTCTCCTGGCGATGCCACCCATGCTGGGGACACGAGGTCTGTCCCTCGGCTTGGCAGCTAGCAGGATGGATCCTTTACGGATTATGCAAGGGATAGGCAAAGGCTCCGTTTCGTTCCGCTGCCCTCCCCACTCTGCCCACCCCACAGGGACACTCCGAGCCATTTGACCTTCTCTGGCCAGGCCAGCGCCGCTGGCTCGGGGCACCAACCCGGCTGGGCTGTCCCCTCGCAGCCCGGGATGGGTCGCAGAGAGCTCCAGAAGCTTTGGGCACAATGGGGCTGGGACGCACTTTCCAGGCAGGATGGAGTCCCCGTGGTACCCGGGCGTGGGACGGGCTGGTTCTGCTGCACTCGGGGTGGATGGATGGCAGGGCTGTCTGCCAGTCTCCAGCCGCCTTTTCAAGAGCTAAAAGCTTGATTTGAGCCAGCTGGGGAAGGTGCTTCCTCCTCCTATGTGGTGGCAACAGTTTCTTCTTGCCCAGTGTGGACACACGTGAGACTGGGGCTGCTCACTGCACCCCCCTGGGAACTGGGGATGGGCAGGGGCGGACAGCCCCCATTCGAGCTTAATCTCCACCACCCTCCTTCTCCTCCCCCTGAGTGGGAATTGGGTGCCCCAGGACTTGCTGCTTGGAGACTGTGGGGCCATTTCAGCCGGATTTGGGTGCTGAGTCCCGGGCTGGGAGCCGGGAGGAGCGTGGGGAGGCAAACAGCTCCAAATCCAGCAAAGCCCCTGCGAACAGAGCACAGGGAAAACTTGCAAGCGCAACGAATTTTCTCGCTGTGCCACATTTTATCACTGGCAAAGGCTCCCGTGTGGAGAGGCTCAGCACAGAGCATCTGCCAGGCAGGCAAGGTTGATTCCACCACTGCACCCACCACTTGAGCCGGGTCTTTTTGGGGCTACAGGGCGAGCACAGATAAGAACTTCATGGAGGTTTTGTATCTGGGGCATAGGAGGGTTGGAAGCTGGGAATGAGGCAGAAAATTGTCATCTTTCTATCCATATGCTTGAATCATATCCGTTTCTAGCTAGCTCAGCTGTCTGTCTGTGCTACCCTCTGTGTTTTCCTAGCTGCAGATTATTTGGGATAACTGGGAGCTGGAGAGAAATGTGTGCACAGACTTAAATGCGTGTGAGTTGGTACGCATTGCAAAAAATCCTGCACAGCTGTAGCTGGGGCAAGGGGCCAGCTTGCTGCTCTGCCAAAAAACCTGCTTACATTTCTTCAGTGTCCAAAGTCCTCAATGTTTGGGTGAAAACACTGATCTCTTCTTCCCAGCATTGCCTGGCTGTGGATGCGCAGCAGGGTTTGTGTCAGGTGACACAGAGGGTTCGTGTCAGGTGTCCCTCTGGAAATGGGGGTTTGTCTTGGTTTCACTCTTGGTTTTGCCAGTGGGATTTTGCCAGCAAGAGACACAATTTGGGTTGACCACAGAAGCCCAAGAAATACTTGGAAATGGGGACAAGTGCCTGCTGGTTATGGATGGTGGGTGTCCTGTCATGGGGTGGTCTGGTAGGACAACCTGAGCATGGCCAAGCTGTGCTGCAGCATTGGGATGACTGAACATCCAGACTAGGAGCAGGCCAGGGACAGAGCCCAAACTGAAGACTTTGGAGTCACCTGCCAGCTGTGACTCCAAGATTTCACATGACCTGTTGCACCCTGCAGGTCCCATTAAGACTTGGGTACCTCTTCTCTTCTCCATACAAGGACTTCTCACCAGGCACAGCTTCCAAGTCATGTTTTCCTTCCTGTGACATCCCAGCCATGTCAAGACCAGAACTTTCACTGAATTTGTCAGTTCAGCAAAGCTGCAATTTAAGGCCAAATCTTCATCCCATTTCAGCTCTTGGAGTCCATCTCAGGGCAGGATGAGTCACAAGCCACGTCTGATACATCCTTTACCTTCACCTTCACCTTTGGGGTCAGATGGTGCTTCCAGCCTTTCCTGGCTGGATTTCAGGCATCCTTCTTTAGCACCCTTCAGGGGGATCCATCCTTTGCATGGAAAGCTGAGATGGAAGGAATTTTTTTCTCCCATCTGTCCAGGAAGTAAGAGCACCAAAAATGCCTTTCATCACCTTCGTCATCCTCACTCTGGAGGAGAGAGCACTGTACATGCCGTGGGAAGGATGACTGACAGCTTGGCAAGAAGCTGTTAAGCCCTGCACTTGGGGGATGTTCAGGAAGTCACCCCTGGAGCAGCGGAAAACCTACAGAGCAAGTGCCTATATAAATATATAGATAGAGATCTATAGGCTTCTGTGGCTAGAAATGAAATGTGTTAAACCAGAATAGCACTTGGAGCTGCTCATGTGTGCCAGGACTCTGGCAGTTCCGTGGGGCACAGAATGACAGGAAGCATCTCCTTCTCCAGCATCCCTGGACCACAGGGGAGCCAAGGTGGGCCCAGGGAGGGCACATGGCAGTGGAGAGGGCTGGTGGGGCTCGTTTTCCAGGAAGAAGATGGGACATTTGGAGAGGGGAGATATTTCCTTCCTGAGGGACAGTGTCATAGCAAGCCAGTGTATGGGGAAGAAAGGAAGGAAGGAAGGAAGGAAGGAAGGAAGGAAGGAAGGAAGGAAGGAAGGAA